ATGTGTGTTATGGTGTCCCCCCTCTATACCTGTCTGTGATGTGTAGGACGTACATCACTGTGGGGTATACTTTAGTATCAGACTTGTGTAGGGTGTGTGTTATGGGGTCCCCCCTCTATACCTGTCTGTGATGTGTAGGACGTACATCACTGTGGGTATACTTTAGTGTCAGACTTGTGTAGGGGGGGTGTTATGGTGCCCCCTCTATACATGTCTGTGATGTGTGGGATGTGGGTCATGGTGCCCCCTCTATACACGACTGTGATGTGTAGGAAGTACATCACTGTGGGGTATACTTTAGTATCAGACTTGTGTAGGGTGTGTGTTATGGTGTCCTCTCTATACACGTCTGTGATGTGTAGGACGTACATCACTGTGGGGCATACTTTAGTGTCAGACTTGTGTAGGGTGTGTGTGATGGTGTCCCCCCTCTATACCTGTCTGTGATGTGTAGGACGTACATCACTGTGGGTATACTTTAGTGTCAGACTTGTGTAGGGTGTGTGTTATGGTGCCCCCTCTATACATGTCTGTGATGTGTAGGATGTGTGTCATGGTGCCCCCTCTATACACGACTGTGATGTGTAGGACGTACATCACTGTGGGGTATACTTTAGTATCAGACTTGTGTAGGGGGTGTGTTATGGTGCCCCCTCTATACACGTCTGTGATGTGTAGGACGTACATCACTGTGGGGGATACTTTAGTGTCAGACTTGTGTAGGGTGTGTGTTATGGTGTCCCCTCTATACATGTCTGTGATGTGTTCGACGTACATCACTGTGGGGTATACTTTACTGTCATACTTGTGTAGGGTGTGTGTTATGGTGTCCCCTCTATACACGACTGTGATGTGTAGGACGTACATCACTGTGGGGCATACTTTAGTGTCAGACTTGTGTAGGGTGTGTGTTATGGTCCCCCCTCTATACAAGTCTGTGATGTGTAGGACGTACATCACTGTGGGGTATACTTTACTGTCAGACTTGTGTAGGGTGTGTGTTATGGTCCCCCCTCTATACTTGTCTGTGATGTGTAGGACATACATCACTGTGTGTAGACTTTAGTGTCAGACTTGTGTAGGGTGTGTGTGATGGTGTCCCCTCCATACAAGTCTGTGATGTGTAGGACGTACATCACTGTGGGGTATACTTTAGTATCAGACTTGTGTAGGGTGTGTGTTATGGTCCCTCCTCTATACAAGTCTGTGATGTGTAGGACATACATCACTGTGTGTAGACTTTAGTGTCAGACTTGGGTAGGGTGTGTGTGATGGTGTCCCCTCCATACAAGTCTGTGATGTGTAGGACGTGCATCACTGTAGGGTATACTTCAGTGTTTGACGACTTGTGTAGGGTATGTGTTATGGTGTCCCCTCTATACATGTCTGTGATGTGTACGGCGTGCATCACAGTAGGGTATACTTCAGTGTTTGACGACTTGTGTAGGGTATGTGTTATGGTGCCTTAAGGGCTCGGCCAAGTTTATGACCACTTTCAGCGGACCCCATTTGGCGGATTAATGGCCCCTTGAATAATGAAAAACATAATGATATGCAGTTTCTGTTCATTAACTCTCGCAAATATTATCTGATTGTCTTCAAAATTAGTAACAGGGTTCAACGAATTAAGGGCTCGGCCAATTTTGACAAACACTTTAATCTGACCCTATTTGGCAGAGTTATGGCCCCTTGATTAACAAAAAACAAAATTAACTGCAGTTTCCACTTAATAACTCTAGCAAATATTAGCCAAATTCCTTCAAACTTGATAACGGTGTTTGTGTTCCTCTGTCTTTTTACCCATTTGGGCACTTTTTATGGCTCAACAGCACGATACTCACATGTTTAAACCTAACCTCAATAATGTTAACCTACAATATGTCCTGCAAGCGGGGGATATAAATTCCACAAACTTGCTTTTTTTTTTTTATTATGGCCACTAGGCCACATCTAAAATCTGAATGACAACAAATTTGGAAGGGTTGATGCTGGATATTGCCACAACAGGGAAATTCCTGGAATTTTAGAGCAGTGGGCCATTTCAAGCAAATTTTAGTCAGTATAAAAATTAAGAGAGGCCATTTCTATGTAAAATTAAAAGATAATTGGAACATTGGGGGGGGGGGGGGCAACTGTAGTTTTGAGGGGTCAATGGCCCCAAGGCCTCCTCCAGGATTATCCCTGCCACAATAAACTACCCCTGCTGAACAATATTCTTTTTCATCTATGTTTGTTCTACAATAGGCTCGGGGGGGGGGGGGGGGTCAGTACATAACCTGACTAGGAAATTAGACCAGTTAAAATATAGCATTGGTTAGTATTTCTACTGAACTACCATAGATATACACGGCCTATTACTGGGCATGTAGCCGGTTTAGTCTGGTATATACGATGATATTTGGATACTTTATTTGATACAGAAGATAATTTCTCCTGGCGTCATCCTCTACATGTTCTGTTGTATCAAAGCATCACTTTTATGTCACTGTTATATTGTGTCAGATTTCTCTTAGTCAAATGGTAGTAGGTTTCCTGTTACGTTAGGTATAACCCTTTTACCACTGTAGACCATAATGCCGCAATGCGTTAGAGGCGACGTGATGAAATTAAAAACCTTTTATGGTATATGTACCATATACGTTAGAAAGATGTGATTATTTTTTCCTGCACAAACTTTGTTTGCCAATATGGGATGTACTAAATCCGGCTGGCTGATTCGTTTTCGTCTAAAAAGCTCAGGGGGGGAATTGATATTTTCAAAATGGTGGCTGTCCAAATGCATTTTCATAGTTTTTGAGCTTATTCTGGTGGTTGGAATGAAAGAAAACTACTCTTTCATGCCCAAGGGTGTAGGAAAGGGAAATTCTACCCTCAGGATTTTCAAATTTGTCAAAACCCTCAGCTTAACCCCTCGGGTGGAATTTCCCTATCCTACAGTCCTGAGCAAGAAAGAGTCTTATAATATTTTCCAAAATATTTTATGTCAACATTTTCAAAATATTTCATGTCGGTACAGTGTGTCATGGACAACATATTAATTAACTTAATTGAATGAATATATTCTATTACTATAAGATGATGGCATATCTATTGTAACATTACAACTGACAAGACTTATTGTAATTTTCCTGTCTAAACCCTGTGCAAATAATAGCGTTATTTGACAATATAGAAAATTATTAACATTATTTTCTCTGCAAAAACCTCATAGTTCACTGGTAAAAAGGCTTTATATACCCTCACTGTATTGATGTTACTATAGATTCTACTATAGTATGACTATTTTTTTGAAATGGTTTGTTTTTCCATCAAGACTTAATGAAATATTGAATGCTGTTTCATTTTTCAGGATGACCTTGACCTCCCGGTAAAGATAAAGGCGGGACATATCGGTATGTTCTTTGTGTATTACTGGTTTTGTTGTTATGTCGACACATGTAGTGATTTACACATTATATACCTGTTGTAAAATAATTGATCTATTAAGACCCCCATCCTTTAAAAGCGCCCCTCTCCATTTTTCTGGTGTGAGGGTCCCAATCACTTTTAAGCGCCCCTCTCCATTTTTCTGGTGCGAGGGTCCCAATCACTTTTAAGCGCCCCTCTCCATTTTTCTGGTGTGAGGGACCCACTCACGTTTAAGTGCCCCTCTCCATTTTTCTGGTGTGAGGGTCCCAATCACTTTTAAGTGCCCCTCTCCAGTTTTCTGGTGCGAGGGTCCTAATCACTTTTAAGTGCTCCTCTCCATTTTTCTGGTGTGAGGGTCCCAATCGCTTTAAAGCACCCCTCTCCATTTTTCTGGTGTGAGGGTCCCAATCCCTTTAAAGCACCCCTCTCCATTTTTCTGGTGTGAGGGTCCCAATCCCTTTAAAGCACCCCTCTCCATTTTTCTGGTGTGAGGGTCCCAATCGCTTTAAAGCACCCCTCTCCATTTTTCTGGTGTGAGGGTCCCAATCATTTTTAAGTGCCCCTCTCCATTTTTCTGGTGTGAGGGGCCCAATCACTTTTAAGTGCCCCCTCTCCATTTTTCTGGTGTGAAGGTCCCAATCACTTTTAAGTGCCCCCTCTCCATTTTTCTGGTGTGAGGGTCCCAATCATTTTTAAGTGCCCCTCTCCATTTTTCTGGTGTGAGGGTCCCAATCACTTTTAGGTGCCCCTCTCCATTTTTCTGGTGTGAGGGTCCCAATCCCTTTTAAGTGCCCCCTCTCCATTTTTCTGGTGGGAAGGTCCCAATCACTTTTAAGCGCCCCTCTCCATTTTTCTGGTGTGAGGGTCCCAATCTCTTTTAAGTGCCCCTCTCCATTTTTCTGGTGCGAGGGTCCCAATCACTTTTAAGTGCCCCTCTCCATTTCTCTGGTGTGAGGGTCCCAATCACTTTAAAGTGCACCCTCTCCATTTTTCTGGTGTGAGGGGCCCAATCACTTTTAAGTGCCCCCTCTCCATTTTTCTGGTGGGAAGGTCCCAATCACTTTTAAGCGCCCCTCTCCATTTTTCTGGTGTGAGGGTCCCAATCACTTTAAAAGTGCCCCTCTCCATTTTTCTGGTGTGAAGGTCCCAATCACTTTTAAGCGCCCCTCTCCATTTTTCTGGTGTGAGGGTCCCAATCTCTTTTAAGTGCCCCTCTCCATTTTTCTGGTGTGAGGGGCCCAATCACTTTTAAGTGCCCCCTCTCCATTTTTCTGGTGGGAAGGTCCCAATCACTTTTAAGCGCCCCTCTCCATTTTTCTGGTGTGAGGGTCCCAATCGCTTTAAAGCACCCCTCTCCATTTTTCTGGTGTGAGGGTCCCAATCGCTTTAAAGCACCCCTCTCCATTTTTCTGGTGTGAGGGTCCCAATCACTTTTAGGTGCCCCTCTCCATTTTTCTGGTGTGAGGGTCCCAATCCCTTTAAAGCACCCCTCTCCATTTTTCTGGTGTGAGGGTCCCAATCATTTTTAAGTGCCCCTCTCCATTTTTCTGGTGTTAGCGTCCCAATCACTTTTAAGTGCCCCCTCTCCATAAGCGCCCCTCTCCATTTTTCTGGTGTGAGGGTCCCAATCGCTTTTAAGTGCCCCTCTCCAGTTTTCTGGTGTGAGGGTCCCAATCACTTTTAAGTGCCCCCTCTCCATAAGCGCCCCTCTCCATTTTTCTGGTGTGAGGGTCCCAATCACTTTAAAGCACCCCTCTCCATTTTTCTGGTGTGAGGGTCCCAATCACTTTTAAGTGCCCCCCTCCATTTTTCTGGTGTGAGGGTCCCAATCACATTTTCTGGTGTGAGGGTCCAAATCACTTTTAAGTGCCCCCTCTCCAGTTTTCTGGTGCGAGGGTCCTAATCACTTTTAAGTGCCCCTCTCCATTTTTCTGGTGTTAGCGTCCCAATCACTTTTAAGTGCCCCCTCTCCATTTTTCTGGGGTGAAGGTCCCAATCACTTTTAAGCGCCCCTCTCCATTTCCCCTCTCCATTTTTCTGGTGTGAGGGTCCCAATCATTTTTAAGTGCCCCTCTCCATTTTTCTGGTGTGAGAGTCCCAATCACTTTCAAGTGCCCCCACTCCATTTTCTGGTGTGAGGGTCCCATTCACTTTTAATCCCTCACCACTTTTGTGGTGTGATGGTCCCAATCACTATTAAGCGCCCCTCTCCATTTTTCTGGTGTGAGGGTCCCAATCACTTTCAAGTGCCTTTCTCCATTTTTCTTGTGTGAGGGTCCACATCACTTTAAAGTGCCCCCTCTCAATTTTTCTGGTGTGAGGGTCCCAATCTCTTTGAAGTGCCCCCTCTCCATTTTTCTTGTGTGAGGGTCCCAATCACATTTTTCTGGTGTGAGGGTCCCAATCACTTTAAAAGTGCCCCCTCTCCATTTTTCTGGTGTGAAGGTCCCAATCACTTTTAAGCGCCCCTCTCCATTTTTCTGGTGTGAGGGTCCCAATCA